ATATATGTGAGGTTAAGTCGAAATATGTTGCTACAAAATCATAGAAACCTTTATTAAACAAAAATATCAAAACCTGAAGCTATCTCCTCCATCTTTGTCTATACACTTCTGAAGGCGGTGTTTCCATCTCTGTAACCTTTCCCTGAAGAATTCTGTACTGTTAGATTTACACCACATCAAAATAGCAATTTTGACATCACTGAGGGACTCCAATCATGTTCCTTTTAAATGTTCTTGGAGATTTGGGAACAAAAAGAAGTCTGAATGGGCAAGATCAGGGCTGTAGGTGGATCAGGTAAGGTTTCCCAATGAAATTCTAGTAGGACAGCCCTTGCTACCCTCGAATAATGAGCAGTTGCATTGTTGTGATGGAAAAAATATCCGCAGTGAAACTTCTTGGCCTTTTTCTCACCGATGCGGATTTCAGTTTTCCTCAAACTTCTTCATAGTAAGCGCCTGTGATCATCCTGTGTTCTTCGAGAAGAATCTATGAAGATTACCCGTTTGGAATCCCCAAAAACAGTCACCATAGCCTTCTGAGTGGTCTTCCCTCCCTTGGCTTATCTTTGAGGTCTTCCCGACCTTCCTTAAAACACTTGATCCATCTAAAAACTTTTTTGTTTTATGTGGGGCAGCATTCCCATAAGCTTGTTGCAAAGCTTCAGTGATTTGGGAAGATGTCCTTTGAGTTTTGTTAAAAATTTGATATTAGCCCTGATCTCAAAATCATCTTCTTCCATGGCACAAAAAAATCCTTTTTTTTTGAAGGCACTCTAACAAGGTTAAGACAAGTGTATTGCTGAGAGAACTTGTCTACAGCCATCCACTGATCACAGAGGCATGTTTAAACACGTTTTGTTTGGAATAAACCCGTGCATGTATGAACTGGAACCCTAGCAGCAATACTTTTTGACTTCGCCTTCATATATATCTGTTTTTGAGATCCTTGAAGTATCTAAATGGAAGGTGGTCTTAAACTGAAATTTCACAAAGAGTTTTAATATTTATTAGTGTTACTTTGTATAGTTCTTTTCATCCCTCTTGCTGTCTAGCTTGCTGTATTAGTTTGCCAACTATTAATATTTCCCTTCTCATCCAATTTACTATTGCTCAAAGGCCCCTGGATAGCACAAACGTTCTGAGGTCAGTCATTAACTGGAAGGTTGGCAGTTTAAATATACCCAGTGGAAGAAAGGCCTGGTGGTCTACTTCTGTAAGATTGTTGTTGTTAGTTGCTGTCAAGTCCGATTCCAACTTATGGCGGTCCCATGTGTGCAGAGTAAAACTGCTCCATATGGTTTTCAACGCTGTGACCTTTTGGAAGCTGATCGCCAGATCTGTCTTCTGAGGTGCCTCTGGATGGATTCAAACCACCAAACTTTCAGTTAGTAGGTGAGCGCTTACTGTTTGTGCCTTCCAGGGACTCCTTCCATAAGATTTATCTTGTCCGCTTAATATTACACACATTGAAAACCCTGTGGAGCACAGTTCTACTCTGACACACACGGTGTCATCATGAATTGGAATCAATTTGATAGCAATTTTTTAATTAAAAAAAAAATTAATATCGAGAAACAGTTAATAAATGTGTTAAAACCACACTTAATGTAAAAATAGACTCTGAGAGAATGCTTGTGGGAACTTCAATGGATAAGATGGGTGTGTTTTTATATGTGGTCTTTATGACCAATTTTAGCTTTTAGAAACCTGGGGGTTAGGTTTTATTTTATTTATCTGTTTATTTCTTTCTTTTGCTCATTCTAGTTCATGGATAAACCACATCTCAATAAAGATCAAAACAGTTAAATACATTTCCCTGTTCACATTTCCATGTAACTGTTATTGTCTAGAACACACTCCTATTTTTACATGAATTTTAACATTTTTTTCTGTTGTGGAGATTATGGCTTGGAACAATTAAAGATTTTTAAAATACAACCACAGAGGTCACCTTAAAAATTCTTGTTGCTGGTGTCTAGGTTCCTAGTCCGATGAACTGAGAGGTGACTTGGTTTTGTACAGAAAACCCCTGTGTTCACAGCACACACTTTAATTCAGCCCCTACCCAGAGGTAACCAGCGCCTTGTCCCTGGTTGCTGAGGTGATTAAAGTGTGAGTCAAAGAGGTTTCTGTGTCCATCTAATCCGGCATGGTTTAAACTGTTAAGTAAATAATACGAGGGCTTAGAGGCTGATACTCGGCAGAGCAAAGCAGCTTATTCCTCATTTCTGAACATTGTGTCAGGTGAGGGAAAGGACAAACAGTAACCAAATAAAAAGTCGTAAGAGTATATTTGTGTTTGTGTTCCTACACTTACATGAGATAACTTTATTAAATCAAAAGAAGTGGGTAAGTGGATATTGTAGGGACCTATTGCAGGCCCAATATAAAGCACCTCTTTCCTATCTATATTTGAACAAATTGAAAAAACACAGTCAAAAGGGAAGGCAGAAAGGGAGGTCACAATATCACCTTGATTGCTGATAAAACTTATTATTAATGAGTTTACAAACAAGTAAGCTTCAATACTGAAACCCGGTTTCGAACTGCCTTACTCTCTGCCGAGAGAAAAGGGATGAGTCCTGCAGGCCAACATCTCATTCCCAACTATTCTATTAGGTAAGTCAGCCCAGCTCTCCTGCAGTGGAGTCAGTTAGGGGCCAGAAAGAGACCAGGAAGATTAGGCTAATGGTGCTCCCTCCACATGAAAAGAAATTCGAGTAATGTGCATCGGCATTTGAATTCAATATATATGGCATGGTACTTTATATATCTACCACCCGTCTCTCAGTTCATTGTACTGTGGTGGCTTGTGTGTTACCGTGATTCTGGAAGTTATGCCACCAGTATTTCAAATGCTAGTAGGGTCACCCATGGTGGACAGATTTCAGCAGAGTGTCCAGACTAAGACAGACTAGGAAGAAAGACCTGGTGATCTTCTGAAAATCAGCCAATGAAAACCCTATGGACCACAACAGAATGTTGTCTGATATAGTGCTGGAAGGTGAACCCTGTAGGTTGAAAGGCACTCAAAATACACAGTGGCCACAACAATGGACCCAAGCATACCAATGATCGTGAAGGTGGTGCGGGACTAGAAAACATTTTTCCGTTGTGCATGGGGTCACCATGATAGGGCGCCTACTCAACGGCAACTAAACAACAAACTTTATCTGTGTGTATTGTTAAGTATACATAGATCATTTTATCTTCAAATCCTTTACCTCACTCCAGCTCACCTCAACCCTTAGAAGAACACTTTGAAAGGAATTACCCGTATTAGTATCACCATTTTACAGGTGAGGAAACTGAGCTTAAAGAGGTTGCCTAACTTGCTCAAAGTAACATAGGTGATAATTAGAAGAGCTGAGCATCAGATACAGACCTGTCTGATTTTAAAACCCATTCTTTCCACATCCCCAGTTTATTTTTTCATATTAATAAATCTGATATAACTCATCCAAGTAAATAAGATGTCTTAGCTGAAAATCATTGCGAAACTGTGCTGTTGGAAATGTGATAAGTCATTGATAGGAAATTTTCCTTATGAATTTTTTTAACTTTTTATCTTGAAATCATTTTACACTTACAGAAAAGTTTCAGAACCAGTACAGAGAAGTCTCATACGCCCTTGACTCAGCGTTCTCTAATGCTAACATCTTATATAACCATAGTGTAATTTATTGACATTGGTCCAACACTATTAACTGAACTATAGACCTTATTCAAATTTCGCCGCTGTTTTCACTATTGACTGTGAATTTTTTGAGAACAGGAACGATGTTATGTTCATTTCCATATCCATAATATCTAGTGGTAAGACTGGTGTGTAGAGTAGGTGATCAGGAAATACTTCTAGAGTGTATAATTGAACGAATGGATTTTGAGTGTGTGTATGGGTGTGTGTGTGTGTGTGTGTGAGTGTATGAGTGTAGGTGTCTGTGAGTGTGGTTTATAAGCACGGGAGATAAATATAAGGTATAGTTTGAATGAGTGGCATTCAGAACTAAATTTGATGTTAGACTTTGTGAAGCTCAGTCATTTAAAACTGGAACTTTTTCAAAAGGAAAAGAGTGTACTAATAAGCTAGAAAGATGCAGTGAATCCACTGCTAAATGGACAGAAGGCTGTTGTATTCATTATGTTCATTATGTTCAGACTATGTGTGTGTTTCATATTCCACCTGAGTGAAGTACCTGGGCAGGAGAAGCAGCAGTTGCTGGCAATCAGTCCTGTATTTCTAGAAAGGCATTAGAAATTCAACGTTAAACCAAACCATAGAAACTCTCTTGCTTCGAGAGGAATTCCAGGCAGGTGTCTTTAAGGCTTCTATTTTCTTTTTCACTGAGTTCAGTTGAGATAACATTAATGAAGTGTGAATTTTGCCATAACAGTGGTTTCTGACAACCTTAAAAATAAACACTCTTTTATTTCAACCTTTATAACCAAAGAATGTGCAACCAAGATAGAGGCAATATTCAAAGCACAGAATTCCTATTAGTAGCTTAATGGACCCTGAAATGGCCATTTCTCTTGCTGTTTCCTCCACCTTCTGTTAACCAAACTGAAAATATTAATGTGACAATCTCTACCAAGGCAAAATATATGTCATTATTCTTAGTTGGGCAAAACTAGCATATAAAGCTTATTTCTCTCAAAAATTAATTCAGCTTTTAGAAGGTTTTAATTATATTATTGTTGTTGTTTAGATGGAAGACGTCATAGCACGCATGCAAGATGAAAAAAATGGAATTCCTATTCGTACGGTCAAAAGCTTTCTCTCCAAGATACCTAGTGTCTTCTCTGGTAAGTTTGCTGTCAGTACATCTCTGGTTTCTCCTGCATCATTTATTTTACTGTTTAAAATTATTCCGGTCATTCACTATTGAAACTCTCTCTCTAACTTATTAATCAGTAGCTACTTACAAAATGCATATGCCAATGTTCGTCATTATGTTAGACATGTGAAATAATCATAAAATAAAGCAAAACAAAACAAATAAAATCCTGGCCGTACTCGAAGGGAGCATACAGTTAGTTGCAAAAACATGATGAATGAATGTGAAATAACAGTAAACAATACAAAAATAAATTTAAAATGTATGAGATAATGCAGTATAGAATATATATGGGAGCTAGGAGGGTGAAGAAATTAATAAGGAGCCAGGAAATGGTTCCTGAAGAAATGATCTGAGTGTGAAAGATGAGGAGGAGTTATATCAGCCTGAGACCACTGCCACTTCTTGCTGAGCATGCAGAGCTGGGAACTGACAAACTACAGAGAAGAGGATGGGTAGGACACTAAAGGAAATAAGATGGAATACATAGAGGTGGGTCAGATCATGAAGGTCTTTGAAAGCCACCAAAAGAATTTAGATTTCTTATATGGAGAAATACGGAGACATTTAAAATTTTTGTGGAGAATGCTGTGATCAAAGTGTTCAGGATGAACTGGCATTAAGGAAAGGCTATCATACAGCAGGAGCCCTGGTGGTGCAGCGGTTAAGCACTTGGCTGCTAACCGAAAGGTTGGCAGTTCGAACCCAGCAGTCATGGGAGAAAGATGTGGCAGTCTGCTTCCATAAAGATTACAGCCTTGGAAACCCTATGGATCAGTTCTACTCTGTCCTATAGGGTCACTATGAGTTGGAATTGACACAACGGCAATGGGTAACGGGTATCATCGTGGTGGTGGTTACAAGACTTCTGCAGTAATAGTTTGGGTGCCACGGTTCTGTTCTCCAGGGGCTGGGGGAAGAAGCGTGAGGGCTGGTGAATACTTGAGTATGGAGGATAAAGGAGGACATGACTCAGAGTGTTGTTTTTATTTGTCTGTTTTGTTTTGGTCTGATGGGCTGACTGAGAGATAAAGGAATCATTATCTGAAATAGGGAAAGCCACAGGTTTAATTGTAAGTAGCTAGAGAAACTAGAAGAAATGGATAGCAACGAGTTAGAAATTTATGCTCTGTCTCCCTGAGACTGTGAAGGCCCCAGTTGTGGGCCGCGGGGCATGCTGGGGCATGGCCTTGGCACGGCTAAGGGCAGAGGTGTGACCAGACAAATGTAAACCTTGTGAAGGAATGATGAGAATAAGGAGGCTGGATGTTAGAGTAGGTGGAGGAGGGGTGTTTGATAGGAGTTACATGCAAGACTTTTGTGATGCTTCCTCATGAACAAGGATCAAGGGATGATCACTAGATTAGTAGGCTTTGGGCCTTGGTAAGACTAGAAGAGCAGATAAGCCAGCCCAGGTGCTGGGGTCTGAAAGCTGTCTTACTCTCAGGTAGAAAAGAGAGAGAGCTTGGAGCAGGTGAGAGCTACAATAGAATGGCATTTTGTGCTAACCAAGTTTTACATCTTTTTTCCTGTTACTACCTTTCATGCCCACTTTTTTCCAGCTTCTTGGTCTTTCTTGGTGATGCCCTGTGTTTTCCCACATCTGTGACTTTACTCTATCTCTTCTCTCCAGCTAGAACTTCTATCCTCATCTTCAATTTCCAGGTCTTTCTGACTGTTACATTCAGTCCATTTTTCAATATTCATCTCAGGGTTCTCTTACTCTCTCACCGTACTCTCAAAAAACACCATACTCTCAAAAAACTTGATTTGTGCCTCTCTAATCGCAGTTTTTATGCTCTATTTGTCTTGTATGTCATATATCCTGTGTCCACTAATAAATATTAAGATACTTGTGGTCAAGGACTTGGAAAGTTGATTTTACATCTAAAGAAAAATGTTAAAATATTTACTGATATTTTGATGAGCTAAAAGTGAATGAACTTATAGCCTTAAAATACTCTACTGTAGGGGTTGCAAAACAAAATGCCTTTAGATTCCAGGCAGATATATATGCATGGAGGAGCTGATCTGAACAGAGAACTGTGGTTAATGCAACAGTGCATGGCCTACTTAAAGGCATTCCAATTTAGGAATTTTTATGACAATACACAGACTAAACAAAACATCAGATTAAGCAGAGTTGTAAGTTGGAGTCACCTACTGTAGTGGAGTCTGAAAATTTTGATTAAATTATTTGGATAGCAGTTCCTTGACAGCCTGTTGGGAGAAATCTTGATTGAGAATATTAAAATCTTAACTGAAAAGTAGGATCGGACATATAGATTGAGAATGAGCCCTGAAATCCCTAATAATTGTTTAAATGTTCACTAACATAAAACAACAGTGGTAGCTATTAAATAAAGAGAATATTGAGAGACGGCCCAAGATGGCACCTTATTCAAACACACTGTGCCATCCCTCCATAGTGAAGATCTGAGAAACCAATGAAGCAGATACACATGACAATTCTCACACCCTGAGCATCAAATGGAAGGATAAAGAATTAGATCGAACACTGATTGGGAAAACAAACTGAATGAAAACAGTGAACGAGGAGAGATACAGAGGAGGTGCCCTGCCAGCCAGCCCAGCACAGCATGGCCATCTTGAGACAAAGCCAGCAGCAATTCCAAGTGAGGAGCACAGGAAGACAATGTCACAGAATTTCCAATAGGAGATAGAGAAACTGCGTAGACATACACAGAGTGAAGCAAGGTGAACAGGACATGAACCAGATCTAAGGAGGGAAAGTACAGGAAGGAGGATGAGAGCTCCAGGGATCTTGGCAACTACAGAGCAGGGAGGGATCCAGGATCCAGAGATAGGACTACTCACCAGTGGTGATCCCTGACATTAGGGTGGTGACACACACAAGTAATAGATCCATAGAGTGTCAGCTGACCAGATTTCAGGAAGCCTCCCTGCTGCTCGCACTTGGGCAGGACAGGTCCCAGTTGCTGGCTGCACACTTGGTGACCCAAAAGAGTATGTTCCCCCTTCCCTCACTGTCCTGGTGATTAGTGGCAAGAACGCCCCTTACCCTTGTGGCCCTGCTCACCAGGGGACTAAAGTACAAGAACTCCCTCCCCTTCTACCCAGCCCCGTCTGCCACCCCAGGCCACTCTACCCACCCAGTGAGTGGCAGAGAGCACTGCTGTGCCTCTGGTCACCTACCACACCCCTCACCCACTGCCCTGGCCACCCGGCACTAAGCATGCCTGCCCTGCTATTCACCCACCACACCCACCCCACCCACTGTCCCGCCCACGTGGTGAGCTCCATCACACACTCCTGTGCCACTGGACCAACAACATGTGGTCACCCATGCCTGCCCAGCCCACCCTCAACTGCCCCGCATGCCCAGCAAATAGCAACATGTGTTTGCCTTGTCTACCGCTGCCTCAAGCACCTGGTGACAGGTGGGGAGCGCTCCCATTCCACCAGACAAGCGATGAACGGAGCACGCCTGCCCTGCCTGCCCTGATATATCAAAACAAACAAAAACAAAAAATCAGGACAAAACAAATTCCTCTACACTAACAAGGAGAACTCAGAAAAGGGAATCAAGAAAACAATACCATTTACAATAGCTTCCAAAAGTTTAAAATACCTAGGAATAAATCTAACCAGGGATGTAAGAGACTTATACAAGGAAAACTACTGCAAGAAACCAAAAAAGACCTACATAAATGCAAAAACATACCATGCTCATGGATTAGACGACTTAACATTGTGAAAATGTCAACACTACCCAAAGCAATCTATAGATACAATGTAATCCCAATCCAAATCTCAACAACATTCTTTAATGAAATGGAAGAAAACTACTGTCTATCTTTAGAAGGAAAGGAAAGAAGCCCCAAATAGCTAAAGAATTATTAAAGAAGAAGAACAAAGTAGGAGGCCTCACGCTTCCCACTCTCAGAACTTACTGTACAGCCACAGTAGTCAAAACGGCCTGTTACTGGTATGATAGACATATAGACCAATGGAACAGAATTGAGATCCCAGAAGTAAATCCACCCAACTATGGACAGCTGATCTTCAACAAAGGTTGACGTTCATTCAATGGGAAAGAGATAATCTCTTCGATAAATGATGCTGGCAAAACTGGATATCCATTTGCAGAAAAATGAAACAGGATCTCTACCTCACACTAACACAAACTAACTCAAAATGTATCAAAGACCTAAAAGTTAAACCAAAAACTGTAAAGTTCCCAGAAAATAACATAGAGGCAAAGTTAGGAGTCCTAATTTATGGTATAAATACACTATCAAACATAACTAAAAATGCACAAACAACAGAAGATCAACTAGATAACTAGGACCTCCTAAAAATTAAATACTCATCAAAAGATTTCACCAAAAGATTAAAAAGAGAACCTACAGACTGAGAAAAAATGTTTGGCAATGACATATCTGACAAAGATCTAATCTCTAAAAATATAGAAAACATCAACATTTCAATAACAAAAAGACAAACATCCCAATAAAAAATGGACAAAGGACATGAACAAACACTTCACCAAGGAAGACATTTAGGCAGCTAACAAACACATACAGAGATGCTCTCGATCATTAGCCATTAGAGAGATGCAAATCAAAACTACAGTGAGGTACCATCTCACCCCTGCAAAAATGACACTGATCAAAAAAAAAGAAAACAACAAATGCTGACGAGGTTGTGTGCAGTCTGGAGCTCTTATACACTGCTGGTGGGATTGTAAAATGGTACAACCACTGTGGAAGATGGTATAGCACTTCCTCAAAAAGCTAGAAATAGAAATACCTATGATCCACCAATCCCAGTCCTAGGTGTATATCCTGGAGAAATAAGAGCAGTGACACAAATAGACATATGCACACCCATGTTCATTGCAGCATTATTCAAGTAGCAAAAAGATGGAAACAACCTAAGTGTCCATCATCAGATGAATGGATGAACAGAATGTGGTACCTACAT